CCAAACAGTTTCTTTAGAAACTATCAGCCTTTATTCATTAAGATTTCTACATATTTACAACAATAAAAATTCTATATATTACATCATTATAATATACGTGGCTTAAAAATACGCTTGAGTGACTTTTTAAAAGCGTCAACGTCTTGAATTGATCTCATCTGATTTTCCAGAGCGTTCCACCGAGTAATTTGCATGATTTCTTGACCAAATCGGTCTTAGGTCTTGGTAACTTAAATGCCATTTTCCTCCTGAGGTCGCAACTACTTACATACTTTTCAAAGCGACGGTTCATAGGACATGGTAAAAGATGATAATAAGCATGATGCGCTGAGATTAGTAATCGTTTCTCATACATAATCTGGTTCGATTTCAACATCATTTCAACACCATTGCATACCATGCGAAGCAGTTCCGCCTCCAAATCTCTCAATTCATCATGGCACTGTACGATAAATCCGCCCCGTTTGCATATCGTAGCACAATGAAGATGTCCCCGCAACACAAAGAGAGGGCGTATCTGGAACTTCTCAGTCGTTGCCTGAGTTTCACAGCGTCTCGAAACTTAGTCTTGTTTAAAATCAAAATTCATATCTTTAATTGGCAAAACAGTAAGCCAACTAGAAGCACCCTTCTGAGTGGCAAGATCCACAGCTCTCAAAGTTTTTTCAGAAATCGAGCGCTTCACCTCATTAAGCTTTTACCTCAGATACTGATTTTTTATTTGGCGCATCTCCCATTGCACAACGTGTATTTCATTTTCGTCTGGTGGCTCATGCGCCTATAATTCTATTTTCAAACTTGCAGGGCTAATGGACCACCGATATTAGCCGAGGCTACATACTCTACGGCTGCTACTTGACACGGATTTATTAGGCCCATGCCACCCATTCTCGCTGGCAGCGCCAGAAGCTCGCGTTCAGCTTGTGTACATTTCTGACGTGTAATAGACGGTATTAGGGCATCAGCTATTGCACGCTCCAGAGGTGCGAATAGATCCTCTATGTCAGGCAGAATTCTCATGAAGTACGTCCAGCGGTGTTTTAATCCAAAAGCAAACGCTGGGTAGTAAGCCAGCTGGGGCTGCGACAGAGCAAACTCAGCCAGTTTTGTCACCTGCCCTACCCATTCCTCGACTTTATCTTTGACGCACTTCTCAAGATAAGACCTGGAGCCCATAATAATAATAATGATAATAATAATGATAATAATGACAATAATCTTTATCATTATTATTATAACTATAACGATAATGATGATAATACAAAGACGTTTGGTAAAAACGGTTAACACAGACTGCAATTCACTAAAGTTTGACATCATTTTAATATTTGACCCCACTGCAAATTAATAATGATTCAGATGACTTTGTAAAGATCAATGTAGACCAAACTCAATTTAAAAAAATCTGCCAAAATTTAGTCAGATTTGAGATGAAATTGTTTATTTTCATGTGTTTAGGACAAGTTTAAGGATTCACCAGTTGTTCTTGTGACATCTGATCACCAAAGAAGTGGAAAGGAACACGACGCTGCGTTAATCTGGACAGAAGATGTGACAAAGGACTCGTTTAAGGCCTGTTTGCGAGAACTGCAAAACTTTGACGGCAAGCATCAAGACATTTATGTGGTATGTGATATGCTTTCTCTTTGTTTTAAAATTAATGAAGCTCTGAGATTGAGGATATTTTCTTCAGTCTCACCAGGGTATAGGCTTAATTCAGTATTCTACTTTGACATCTGCATTTGTTCCCAGGCTTGATTAGAATTCTCTCAGTTTCATTCCATTAGAATTTTTTCATTGAATTTTAAGGTATTTTACTGTGTGAAATCATTTGTAACTCCGCATTGAAAAATACGTTACAGTACTCACTAGAAGTTAGTCTTGTTTTTTTTGCACTGGCTCTTTACAGACCTGGTTTGCGTTTGCTAAGTTACATAAACCACTCTTCACTGAGCATAGCTCTGTAAACTTTCCAAATACGGATCCACCCACAGATGAAGACAACAACGCTTACTGCGAGGTAAGTGTACAGTGTAAGTCTGAGTCGAGCACTGCCATTATAGAAAATTAGAGTAATTAACGGTGATGCTCAGGAAAACAGTTATTCAAGAATTTCCTTCACTATCTATTTTTCATCTTACTAACAGTTTGTACACTTTACACGAAGTTACAATGCGATACCATCCGTCCAAATATCAGCTAATCACAGCACAACAGCGAGTGGAAACATGGCACCAGTTCATAACGGTATTTCTGCGTGGATTGAGGTAAGAGCTTTTTACTTGGTAGACTTTATAAAAGGTTATATCGGCTTGACAATAATTGCTTGATTATCAAAAATCCTCAGAAAAATAGCCATCAACTTTACCGTTATTTCTGTTTTTAATTCCTCTTACAGGATGTAGCAGAGGACAATAGAGAGATTTAGCGCCCACGTTTACGTGAAACGTGAACGGGAAGAGTGACCACGTGACCTTGTTTTTCTCTCTATCTTTTCACGTTTGCCAGTTGTGCTTTGCCATTTCTTTACGAAAGTAATCTGTTTCGCTTTTGCAATGTATGTTAGCATATGAAGATGAAACAAATAACAATTTAATGTATAATCGGAAAAAAATCCAAGTCCCGGATGGGATTTGAACCCACAACCCTCCGTGTACGTTCTTCCACTCAGTTTTCTCAGTTTAGTGTCAGTTCAGTTCAGTTCAGTTTATTAAGAAAAATTGACAAAGTACAAAATACGATGTACCACTGCTCGCAGTTAGCTACAGCTATTCGAGGCGAGCAGTGGGTTGACGCATTAAATGAAGTATTAACACACAAATTATGCTAAGTGGAATTACAATTACAATACATATATCTTATTAACCAAGCGCGTGGGCCGTACTGGGAGAATATCGGCCCGAGGTCTTGACAGTACGGACCTCGCTGCGCTCGGTCCGCACAAAAAAGACCGAGATTTATTATACGACTGAAGTTCAAAGGGACACAAGAGCGGTTTCATTCGGGACCATTCGGGATAGTGTCCGGTCCAATACCTAGAGAATATTGACCGGCAATAGAGCATTTTGATTGGTTGATTTTACTTATTGGCCCTCTGACTGCCCGAGTCGTGTAATAATAAGTAGAATTAATTATTGTCATGCAATACATTATAATACGGTTACAGAACTAAGAATTAAGTAGGAATAGTTACAATACTAATTTCAGAG